TATTTTGGAACATATACTGCAGTTCCTACTTTTCCAGATTCTGGATCTTTTGATCCATCTGTAAAAAATATCTAAGAAGTTACTATATTTTTGTTTTATGTATTGGTTCACTAAATGTTCAACTGTTGTGTACTTATTTTCTTTAATTAGTTCTTGTACGTGTGTCAAGTCACAGGTCAAGTCACTTTCATTTATATAGCGCTTTTAACAATATGGCTTTTTTCAAAGCAGCTTTACAGTGATAATAGGAAATGACAGTAACGGAGATTGTTTTGGCTTTACAGCAGCTCTAGAATGAAGTTATTGTCCAGCTAAGTTAGTTTTGATTGATAGATTCACTTCCGTTGCACAGATCATCATTAGTTATTAACTTAGGGTCTAACACGACACCGTTCTAACAGGAAACCCTTAACGCGCTCTGGCCGGTCATTCACAAAACAGTCCCTGGTGTCTCGAGAACGCACTCTCTGAAATAGGTTCCAAGGTGCAAAAGATTATCAGTTATCTCTGCGCAAACCTCAAAAACACAGACCCGCGAAAAATGCAGACGTCGTGCACATGCGCATCACGTGTTCAGTCCATAGGTATGCGCACTTGAATATATATGTGCGCAGGCGTGTAGTCCTTCTTTACAAACCAACCCTCAACAAACTACTTGAACGGAGGTCTTACGGGCTTGGGACGACATGAGGGTGAGTCATTAATGACATAATTTTCATTTTTGGTTGAACTAACCCTTTAATCCTTTCTTACATCTGATTCCAAGCAGAGCACTGAATCCATACCTTGCTGAAATCCACTTTATATGGTGAGAACAGGTTTCTGCTTTCAATAAAATATATTAATCTTTTAGTCACCATTTTTCCATAATTTTACAAATAATTGATGTTAGTGCTATAGGTCTATAGCTAGTGACTTCTGATTGATCCTTTCCAGGTTTTTTAATAGGAATAACAATTGAATGTTTCCAGCTAGAAGGGAGCATACCTGTTATCCTGTTACTTTATTGTATGTTTCAGTATAAATTGAGCGTCAGCGTCAGTTCTGGCAGGCAAGGTAGTCAAGATGCTGCTAACGCTATTGGCCGTCAATACGGTCTCATCAGCGATCTGCTCAGCTGAGCTGCATCTGCGCATCTGCTGTTCATCTCCCCTCGCTGCTAATGACTACGCTCAAATCAGGGCGCCCTATTTAAGCAGATTCAGTTCGCTCCTAACTGCTCGCTGCTCGCTCTCTGCAATCGTTGCTCGCTCTCTGCAACCCACCTGGCGTTATTTCCCTGTCAAATGTGGAGAGCACATTATTGTAGCGCGAAAGTACATTAATATAATGCGCGAGCGTGAATCTCTCTGCTCGCGCGCGGAATATGATGTGCCGAGCGTGAATCTCTCTGCTCGTGCGCGGAATATGATGTGCCGAGCGCGAATCTCTCTGCGCACGCGCGGAATATAATGTGCCGAACGCGAATCTCTCTGCTCGCGCGCAGGAACTGGGTGCGCGCTCTCAGATACACTTCTCTTGTAAGAATTCTTTCTCTGGGCTCGCTCAGAGAATATGCCTGCACTTAAAACGTGTTCAGTGCAATCGCGAATCTCTCCTCTTCCCCAGCTAACAATTTTAGGTTATAAGAACGTTTTCATAACGTTCCCATTAAGTTATAAAAACGTTATTTCTGAATGTTCTAGGGAATTTCAAAACGTCCAGTTTTTTAGTATTAACGTTATTTCTTGGTTATAAGAACGTTCAATTCTCCCGTTATATAATAAATATGTATTAACGTTATTTCGTGTGTTATATATGTGTGTTCTTGACTTAATGGACCTGACAGAACTTGACTAGCCTTTTCAGAAAGGTGTTCTATCATGCTGTAGCATATCTCATCTTCCCCTGGGGATGTTTCAATACCTCTTTTAAGTTCAAATAAAGAGAATAGAACATCCATGGAACTTTCAATTCCATTCCATTTCAACATCAGGGTTTTCTCTTTTAACTATCTCCCTAGATCTCTTTTCCTCTTCTGATAGATTCTCATTACTATGGATCTTAATAAATGCTTTGGGTAACATTTCAGATTTATTGCTGTCAGATTTAGCATTTTTTTTCCTTCATATTTTAACACAGGTATATCTTTGTTTTTCCTAATTCCTCCCATTTTCCTTATCATATCCCAGATGTCTGATATCTGTTTCCCATCCTATTGAGTTAATAAAATCCTTCCAATATGTTCTCTTTGCTACTCTTATAGATCTTCGCACTGTTGCTTGAGCTTTTCTGTAACAAACAAGATCACAGAAAGCAAATGTTAATTTAACTTTTCTAAATGCATTATTCCTTTCTTCTATTGCATCTCCACATTCATTATTGGAACTGCTTTCCTTTTCTTTGTTTCTTTGATTTCAGTACCATCCCTATTATCTCCATTGCTGAATTATGTATAGCACTACAAATTATGGAGTTATACTCTCAACTTCAACATGTAGTTAACTTAATTGAATTAATCTATTATTACATTCTATTTTAAATTTCTTCCAATCTACATTCCTTAGTTTCCATTTAGGTATATAATCTTTATCTGATATCTGTACCTCTATTCCAATATTACATTATATAGGGTAACGGTCACTGCCAATAGTTGACTCCTTTAAAACTTTAGATTCAGCCATATCTTTAGAAACTAAAGTGAGATCCAACACTGATTCTTGGCCATGTACTATATCTAACCCTGTACCATTACCATCATTAAGGTAAATCAATCCTTCTTCATTTAACATTTCCCCAACTATACTTCCTCATAAAGTATAATATGCGTTAAAATTACCACACCAAATTACCATATTATTATTAGATCTCCCTATATCTTCAAGTATCTCTTTAGTAAGTCTATTACAAGAATTATAAAAATGTATCACTGTAATACTCCTATTATTGTTTTATAAAAGTAACCACTCCACCTCCATTACTTTCGTACACTTGTATATCCATTTAATATAAAATCAAGATGTTGTTTTAACCATGTTTCTTGTATGCATATAACCTTAGGTTTATTATCTATTTCATCAATAAACTTTTTAAACTCTTGTCCATTTGAAATAAGGCTTCTAGCATTCCACTGTAATATATTCAATCCTGTCATATAGTTTTCCCATTTGACATTTGTGAGCCTGCAGGTCCTGCTCTAAGTGCTTCATTAATTGCTTCTAGCGTGATATCTTTCAGAATTTTTCTGCTGCCCTGATTATATTCTTTATTCTTTCTGTTCTACTAGATATTTGAGCTGAGCAATTAATTACTTCTGCTAAGAATGTCAGGAACTGATTTTTGTTCACTATTAGAGATTCATTTGTCACCCTACAATGACTCTTCTAACGCTCCGGCTCGCCCACTGTACTTTGATGGCCATGCTGAATGGGAGCAGATGTACTCTTGACTCTCTTGATTGCCTCTGCATATGAGATCCCTTCTGTCACTTTACTGTTCTGAATCCTTGCTGCTTTTTTCTTTACAGCACATCCCCCATATGCTCTCCACCACAGATACAGCATTTTTTGCTTTGTTCCTTCTCCACACTTTCCATACTGATGCTCTTCACCACATTTCCCACAGCGTTGCTTAGCATGACACACAGCCACCACATGTCCATACCTTTGACAATTGAAACATCTCAAGGGAGGTGGAATATTACTGGGTAGATCATAAGCCCTAGCATTACTCTAGATGGCAATTTAATCTCCTGAAAATTAATCAAGACCAATAGTCTGTCCTTTGTCACTTAATTTCTCACATATTGCCATCTCTTAACCTTTATTACCTTTGCTCCAGTAATGTTGTTCTTAATCACTTTTTCTGACATGTCAGTCGGAACACCATATATCACTCCCTTAACCCACCTTCTCTCTTCCCATTTTACACATTTCACTGAATTACCTGCCAATGATTTTAGTTTCAGTGCCTTGTCACACTGTCACTACAAAAGAGTAGTATATTTACATCACGTAGCATTTTAGCATGATCAATATTTTCTATTTTTGCTTTCAACGCTTCCGTTAATTTCAGTGGATTACGAGATCCTTTTGATTCAAATTTCACAATTACCTTGTATTCTTCCTTCCTTGTTTGAGTGTGCTGATTCTTGTCATCACTATCCGTCATGCACCTTCCTTCATTTAGTTTTTTACTTTTACCTTTCCTACTGGCTTACTTCCATCCAACACTATTCAAATTTCCATCTGCACCTTCATCCATGTCATCCATTTCTTGTTCACTTCCTGACTCACCATCACTTCCCATCATTCCTGTTCTAGTCACAGTTCAGTGTTGCCGTACCACCTTTCCCTCGCTAGACGGACACTGAACTGAACATACTGTATATACAGGTGATAATGAGTGAACAGCTGAACAGCTGAATTAGTGTCCGTGACAACAAATGAGTGACGAAGGCAGACGATGATGAAACACAGAGTCCAAACAAAAGTGATTGTGACATTGACTCACCATTCAGTAAATTTTGACTGATATTCCTGCCTTCCCCCAAAGCTCTATTTTCGCCTGTATGTGTGTCCAGAATTGTTTTAGTTTTTTTAATTGTGTGCCATGCTTCATTACTAAACCCAAAAACAAAACAGAAATGGTTAATGCTGACAGGGTTTCTGGGCCCCCTGAACAGTTTTTTTGCCTTTTGACCCTGTTAATTGCGTTCCGGAAGTAGAACTGGAATTTGGTTTGTGTTCCACAAAAAAAAAAAAAAAAAAAAAAAACAGAAAATGGATTTGGAATGACACAATGTTTTCTAAATAATTACATATTTTTATTATTTTATTCTTATTTTTACATTTTATGTTTGAGCTAACTGAAACATAATTGCTGTTTTAAATAGCTTTTTATATAGTAAAGCAAAAAGTCAGAACATGAAGATAAATTGTTTGTTTGTTTGTTTGTTTGTTTGTTTGTTTGTTTGTTTGTTTGTTTGTTTGTTTCACTGTTTTTGCTCATTTCCTGTCTAGGTGGTTTATCTATACTAAAACATTTCCTGCCAGACTTCTTCGCCAATGAAAGAAATCGCCAATCCAAACTCTACAGATTTGTGAGAGATCATCTTGGCCAGAACCTGCAAGGGAAACATTCTCTGTTTTCCAAAAAATCACTCTTACTTCATTGCATTTCAGAGTGGATTAGAGGTGCTACTATAGACCAGCTGAGAAAATTGCCAATGCAACTCAGAGAAAGTAACATTCACAACACTGCAGACAAACTCTCAAAAATGTTCAAAGAGTTAGATGCCTCAAATTGTGATTGTAAAGTTGCAACACTGTAAATCAGCTTGTTATGATTTTTTGGGGATTCCCTCCTAAAGCCAGTAAACAGGTTTGTTTTGTTTTTTTAATGTGCATTTTTTGCTTTTAACTGTGCTATTTTTTGTCTCTTGACATGATGAACAAGCATGAGATTATGTTTGGGGCTGAAAGAAGCATTCATCCCTTTTGAAAAGTAAATGAACCACCAGTTTGAATGTTTAAAGTAACTTGCAGTACTCTTTCTCTCCGAGTTGTGCTCTTTCATCTTTACAACAACACACAACAAAGCACCTGTCAGTGTGAATGTTTCTGAGGAAATTTTAGCCCAATAATTTACTCAATTAAAGAAAATGTGTTCCCCTCTTAAAAATTATAAGATTTGTGTTTTTTTGCTACCACTGAATGAATTGCGAAGAAAATTATTTTATATTAAGACCTTCCTTTTCATGAAATCATACAATCTCAAACCTGTACTGGCTGGTAAAATGAAAATTGGTTTTTCAGGTTTTTTGGCTGAACACAAAATACAATCTTTTGAAGAATGTTGGTAACCAGTTGATGGGCCCCATTGACTTCCATAGTATGTTTTTTCCTACTATGGAAGTCAATGAGGTACATCAACTGTCTGGTTATATTCTTAAAAATATCTTCCTTTGTGTTCAGCAGAAGAAAGAAGTTTATGCAGGCTTGAAACAACTTGAGGGTGAGTAAATGATGACCGAATTTTTGAAGTGAACTATTCCTTTAATAGTGAAGACGGAGACAGCATATGGGTGGCACAGTTTGAAATTTGAATGGTACGTATATCTAACATAGGATACAAGGCTTCGTTTCCACATAAATATCTGTTCACACTATCTAAAAAAATTCACCATAAATAATTCCAGTTCTGTAGCAGATGTTACAGAGCAAAATAGTGTTAAATAGTGAAAGTGAATTAATTTTCTAGAGGCTCAGGGTACCACATTTAAAGGGACACATAGCAAAAATTTCAAATAACGTCATAGGAGACCCAGATCCTCCTCTCTTCTCCTCCTTGGTGGTAGGGGGAAGGATACAAATCCCCGTACTGCTGGATCTATGCATGGTGGATTCCTTCTGTCACATAATGCACACAAGAAAAGGTAAGATCCAAGCGCAGTTTATTAGGGTAATCCGTACTCATAATCCAGCCAGGCAAAAGGTAGGGATGGCTGACGCGAAACAGACGTTCCGAAGCTTTGCGAGATCCCGAAGCGCAGATGATTCGAAACACTGATCCGAAGCGTGATTCAAAACACCCACGTCACGTGACTACGGCTAAATGAAGCTTCTGAGTGTTTCAACAGGTGGCATGGTCCGCCGAGTCAGGGTTTGATTGATAGGTCGGTCGGGAACAGATCACACAATCACACAGTATAAAAGTGAAGTCAATGCATTTTCACATCGTGGGTTTTTGTGAGCGGAATTTGGTTTTGAGATAGCAGATTTTTGGTGATATAGTGACATTTATAGTGCGATTTGTTTAGTTATATTTAGGCTTCCATTTAAATGTAGGCTACACATTGACTGAGAGACAGATAGAGTATATTAATAGATGCATAGATAGAAATATATATAGACAGATAGATTAATAGAGAGATACATACATTAAATGAAGTTCCTAAACGTAAATTAGGGAGGAGCGAGCCCATCCAATCTTTCAATCAACAAACAGAGTATATAAGCAGCCGCTTACCTCTCCCTAGTATCAGCTGTTCCAGTATCCCTCCACCTCCCCAAACTCCACCTTCATCTTAGGTACCTTGCCCTTTAATTAACAGGTCCTACATTTAGCCACTGGGGGGTATATCAGAGCTCGAGTTGAAGCTGCTTCATCGAGCCCCTCTCCAGCGGACAGCAAGCCAAATAAGTTTAACCTAATATCTTAAAGATTTTATGGGCAAACGAACTCGTTAATTGATAGATAGATAGATAGATAGATAGATAGATAGATAGATAGATAGATAGATAGATAGATAGATAGATAGATAGATAGATAGATAGATAGATAGATAGATAAAAATGGAGGCTCCACAGAAGAGATGCCGTACATATGTGGTGTGGGAGCATTTCCATTTAGAAACCCCAAATAAAGTGAGATGTGTGTATTGTGATGGGCAGCTAGCCTACAGCAACAATACATCATCCATGATGCGCTATTTGAGAAGCACTCATCCTGCCATTCTGCAGGGTGCAGAGGATAGCATCCCCCCTAGGCCTGCTACTGACACTGCTGGGCCATCTAAGCAAGGTATGCATTGTTTGAAATATAGGCTAATTATAATTGAAATATAATAACAAACTGTTGGGACACTGTTTAGAAAGTCCATAGGCCAAGCCCTACCTAACGTCCCAATCACAACTGCCAATCAAGTTAAAAACAGCTTTACTGTGAATATAATATATGTTGTCAATATAATATATTTTTTGAATATACATTTTATAGGTCTACATATGAGAACCCAATCTACAGCCAAGATATAATTTTGTGTAGTTGTGTAGTTTGTGTAGTAATTGTAGTAGTTCTACAATCCACTTTATCTTTCTCTGCACACTGAGCATACATATTCATAACATAACTTTGTTTAGGAAGGTTTCCAAATAATGAACCAGTAGGCTACTTTCACAGTAGGCTACTAGTTTTCCAATATATTTGTGCCATCAGTTTAGGATTTGTTACTAATTACTGTTTTCATTTTCATTCAGAGCCACAAATGTCAACATCAGGCCCATCATCATCATCAACACCAGTTGAAACACATTACAGTTTATGGGAACATTTTCATAATCGTATCCGTGAAACCCAGATGATACACAATGCTACAGCTGATGCCACAGTAGAAGTGAAAAAAATACCTCAACGATGCGTTTTTGCCCAGAACTCATGATCCCCTAACTTACTGGAAAGAGAGAGCAGTAATCGTTCCTCATTTGTATGTCCTTGCTAAAAAATATCTTTGCATGCCAGCAACAAGTGTCCCTTGTGAGAGCATTTTTTCAAAGGCTAGAGAAATTATCTGTAAAAAAAAAAAGTAGGCTGAGTCTTTCGACAGCAGAGAAATTAATATTTTTGAATAAAAATCTATAAGAAAGTGAGACATTGTGGCTTGATTTCTTTTATTAATATTCATTTTTCATGAACAAAATAACATTATGCAATGTGAAGAGCCTACAGGTTACAAGCTTCACATATTAGAAAAATACAATAATAAAAAAACAACACATTTTTTAATGGCTCATTGTAAAGGTTGTTTCAGATCAACACCTGCAAGTGACCACTAGGTGTCGCCGTGGAGACGGGTGTCGGATTGATTCGAAGCCTCGAAACAATATGGCACATTTGCTTCAACTGTTTCATTGCTTCACAAAGCCTCGATCTGCCCACCACTAGCAAAAGGTCAAAATCCATAAAGGACTGTCCAAAAACAAGAAACAATCAGGAGCGGAACAGAGAAGTGCAACAAGACAATAAACAAGGAATCCACAATGAACACAGAAACAGACAGGGTATAAATAGCCAGGTGCAAACGATGTCAGTGGGAACAGCTGTGTGCAATGATCAGATGGTGAGTACAGACAAAGGATTATGGGAATTGCGGTTCATGATGAGTTGGTGACGATAAGAGAGATAGACCTCTAGTGGACATCCAGGGAACCCCAACCAGACACTGTGACACTTTGTACAGGTATAGTTTGAAAGGGGTGTTTGTTCCTGGAATGTTTTTCACCTCTGAACCATCTGGGTACAGCAATACATAGGGGCCCTCTTCCATATCCTGATTAAAAATCTCTTACTTTCTTTTCAGCTGCAATTAAAAGTTGCTCAGATGACCAATTAGGTTGAACATCAAGAGGCATGGTCTTCCCTCTGATAGGCTTTAGAACACCACCATGTCTCCACATAACTCCAACATAAATCTACACATGAAAAGAATGAAAAAAAAAGTTAAGTGTCACAAACTGAAATTTTAAATTAGCTTTAACTTGGGGCATGTGACTATTTTATCAAATATTTATAAAAACTATTTTGTCAATGAAAATAAAACTGATAGAACTCGACAAGGTTTGGCTAAAAAGGGGAACTTAACTGGAGCAAGAATTGCGCACGTATCCAGTCCATAGGAGGGGAATGGCGCAGCAAGCCGACACAACGAACCGGGCTTACAGTGAAACTGGCTTCATGTGAAGGGAGCCCACGGGAAGCAACGGTTCGACTAAGGTGTCGCCCAGCCCTCAACTCTAGAATATCTGTCAGCGAAGCACTCTGTGTCAACGCCTAAGCGGGAGCACACACTCATTTAAGAGGAGCTCACAACCTAAGTGGACATGTGCATCTCGGGAATTTCACCAAGATGAAGGCAGCCACTTTCAGTGGGCTAACCACGCTTGGAAACAGCCTTCCCTCTCTGCTGATTTCCTTAACAGATAAGAGCTGGTCTGAGGTCCTAAGGCTTGCGTTCTGTGCACGTAAAACCGCAATGAAGCGGACGGAGAGAGAAAGCCAGGGCTGGGTCTGCCTCCTCCAGGCAGCGCTTGCAGGCTCACCACCTGGTCCCAGTTTAAGGGAGAGGTGGGAACCTTGGGCACATATCCAGGCCGGGGTCTCAGCTTGTGAGAGATAGCTGGCCCGAATTCCAGGCACAAGTCGTTGACCGAAAGCGAGCAAGTCCCTACCCTCTAGTAGAGACCATGCGAGCAGGAGAACTGTTTAAAAACTGAATTTTTAACTCACTGCCTGCAGTGGCTCAGGGGCGGTCTCTGCATTGCAGTAGCACCAGAGATAGGCCCAAGAGGATAAAGAGGAGCGCAGGATGACCCTTGCTCCCTCAGGAACATCAGGACGTGCTTCCTATACTTCTGCATATGATGTTTGTATCATATTGAGGGTGAAGGAACAGCCTACTCCAACCCAACTTGCAGGAAAGAGAGCACTGAATGACCGAACGCTCTCAGGATCTCCTCACGGAGAGAGAAGACTCATTCAACGAATAGGTTCCACTTCTAACTAGCGAAGCAAAACTGCCTTATCTTAAGGGGGTGCTTGCAGAAGTGATGGTCACTAC